GCAAAAAGGGCCATGAATTTGGCCAGAAGGTCGGTTGGCAAGAGGTGGGGGCTGAAACTGGCGATAACCAAATGGGTCTATACGTCGATAGTAAGACCCATCATAACATATGCAGCTTGCATATGGTGGGAAAAAACGGAGCAAAAGGGAGCTCGGAATAAGCTGGACTCGCTGCAAAGACTGGCATGCTTGTACACGACAGGAGCAGTGAGAACAACTCCAACAGCGGCAATGGAGGTGATGCTAGGCCTGCCACCCCTGCACCTAGCAGTGAAGGGGGAGGCAGTAGCAGGAGCCTTTAGGCTGAAAACCAACAGCTTCGATGGCAAACTGCGGCCAAGACACCAGTCACTCTGTGAGAGTCCAAGCTTCCCTCCGGCTTTACACATGGTCTCTGATCAAATGAAAACAACGTACAACTTCGACATTCCATACAGGCTCCGCATCAGCGAAGGCGAGGGGAACCAGAAAATGGTAGACGATGCCCTGGCTGCCTCGGAAGTTAGCTACTTCACTGACGGATCTAAGTCAGGAGATAAGACAGGAGCAGCGGCGTACGGAAACAAAAACTGCAAACTGAAGGCGAGTCTCGGCAGGAGCACCACGGTGAACCAGGCGGAGCTATACGCCATAATGATGGCAGCGAATAACGCTATAGACAAAGGCTGGAGAGACAAAAGGATCACTTTTTTCTCGGACAGCCAAGCAACTCTAAAAGCGGTATCAAACTTCAAGGTCAATTCAAAATTGACCATGGAGGGCATACAGAGGCTCACAAGACTGGCCAACGACAACCACGTCACATTGGTGTGGGTTCGTGGGCACACAGGTGTGAGGGGGAACGAAACTGCTGACCGCTTAGCTAAGGAGGCATCAGAGGAAAACTACATCGGACCAGAACCAGTGTTTGGACTGACNAGCTGAGGTACAAATGCTTCATAAAAACAGCATTCAGAAGCAAACAAAATCTTGCGGCTTTGCCACCAACAGAACAGGCTCTGAAACAACATTCATTGCGAACATACCATCAAGTTCAAATGTGGAGAGGTGTAAATTTGAACGCTTGTGATTGGGGTTGGAAACTTAGCAAACACGGACTCCTACCAATCACAACATTACAACCTCCTGCTCCTGAAGAAATTCTAAAAATGATTTCCTGCAAATGCAAGAAAGGATGTCAGGCAGCTTGTACCTGCAGAAAAAGTGGCCTGCCATGTACAATAATATGTGCCAACTGCCGTGACTCATGCACAAACATTCCTGATGACGTAATCATCGCAGATGGAGAAGAGCAAGAAGAAGACGCGGACGACCCGGACATTGTCCCATTTTCCGAAGATGAAACTGAAATTACAGAATCAGAGGAGAATATGGAGCCAGTGAATCTAGCCGCTATGGAATTTGAACCAGCTCTATTAGAACCATCTGAACATGAGATCGACATTACCGAGGAAGCGAGCCCATCAAATGTTAAAAGACCAAAATTACGGCGGTAAAAGATCTTCAGTATTAAATTCATTAAACAGCAAATATGACTTTAAAATTTAATCCGATACACTTGTATTTAACCATGTATAAGGTTTTTCATTAATTAAATATCCCCCCCCCAAAAAAAAAAAAACTAATAAAAATTTTAAAAAAATTTAAAAAACCCAAAAAAACCCAAAAAAAAACTTTTTAAACACGCCCAGAAACGTAAAACATGTACTTAAACTACACCGTTTCTGCGCCAGTCCTAAGCCTGGATAAAGTGTGGAGGACAAGTTTTCATTCGAAGGCAGGGGAGAGGTACAAATAAGAAGGCGTCCATGAGGTAGAAAGGGGGTCTATTAGCAGGAGATGCGGCCCCGAACCCCGTGTTTTCTCACTTGGACCGGTGGGAGAGTGGAGCGGTTGCGTGAAATGCACCGCCGCGGAAAATGCCCTTGGAGATCGCAACTTAGGCAACGCCGCGGAGCCGTCTCGTTACGCCCTAGGGATAAGTCTGATACATGAAATTGAATAATGCCCACGGGTTGGGGGCGTTACCTAGTGGGCGCGTCAGCAGGTGGCGGATAGCTGGATTCCCTATGTAGGTAGTGCCGTCGTGTAATACTTGTGTAGGGTAGCCTTGAATATATTGAATAAAAGGTCGCGGACCAAACGCTCCAAGCCCCAAATACCCAGCGTGTTAAGCGACCCGTGCGTTGGGAGTATGGCACCAGGGGCAAATGGTGCCTTAACGGAGCCCTGGGATACCGGGCGACCTCCCAGCGTATGTAGCCTTACCCTGGTAAGAGGCTCTGCTAGGGTGGACCACATCACTTCCTCACATCTCGTGGGACTCATATGGATAAAATTCACTCTGAAACACCACAAAACCAGAACATCTCAGGGGAGAGTCGACCAGACTCAGACCTAGAGATGGTACTTCAGGGGAATGAGGAGAAGCAACACACTGCTACATCCTCAGAACTCTGCACAGGCGGGGGGCATGAAAATGCCGCACTGCAAGAATCCGAGGTGATGGAAGTCTCCTCTGAGACGGAGGAGAGGCTTTTGGGAGAACCGAAAGACTCAGCAACCTCAGAGGAAACTACCGGGGTGGCGGAAGCCAGAACCGGAGAGACCGAGCCAAAGGACAAAACGAAGAAGAGGAAACTTTCTGGAGCCCAAATCAAAAAGCGAAGAAGGGAAAGAAAACTGAGGG